ACATAGTAATTAAATTCAATTAGTAATAATAACTCTATTTAATGAATAAAAGACGAAAATAGAAAAGGGAATAAAAATAACGATTTCCCATAATATTGTTGAAATAAAAATCAATTCCCATAATACATTGATTTAAAAATAAATTCCCTACATAGTGTTCACGTAGGATCGTTTTTTTTGCTTTTGGTTCAACTTAAAACCGCTAATGGTAATAGCGGTTTTAAAAAAGAGACCGCCTCTAACAATAACAGGTCTCTTTGCGTCCTTGGTTAATTCACAAGGCATAGTCTACAGGAAAATTATTTCAAAGAGACCGCCTTTCAATACGACAGGTCTCTTTGTGTCCTTGTTAATTCTTAGCCCGCAACAAGAAAAGAGAGCGCTGACAATTACACTTATAACTTCAAAGAGACCGCCTTTCAATAAAAACAGGTCTCTTTGACTTTATTTTACAAAAATTGCAAAACCGCTAATAACGTAGCGGTTTTAAGTTGAACCGAAAACCAATCCTACGTGGACACTAATTTGGGAATTTGTTTTTAAAACGAAGCATAATGGGAATTAATTTCTATTTTAACAATATTAAGAGAAATATGGAATTATCAACATCCCAAACTCCTAGAATAATCTAAAACCACACATCTCAAACAGTCAAGCCCCTTCATTCCTCGGAGGTATTCTCTGATGACCAGGAGCGAATTACTGATTTTTGCAACTTTATTGTGGGCTTCATGGACGATCAGGAACAAAGCTATACATGAGACTACATACGATCCTATAAGCTTAGCTACGGGCTTTATAAGGTACGTGGATGACCACAATCTAAATGCAAGCAGAGTGTTTGGTAGAGTAGTATACAGGAATACAAGGTCTGCAACCAGTGGCGGACCCAGGAATTTCCGACTGGTGGGTCACAATCGATAATCAAGTATGTAAAAAAAAAAAAAATTACCGAACAACCAAATAATAGTACTAAAAAATACATCCAAATATTTAAACAGTACAAAATACAACCAAATGTTCATATAATACTACACAAGACAACTAAATAGTAATGCAAACTTATTACAATAGTTCTCGACGAGTTTTCATGTTTTGATATCGATTCATGATATCTTCCATGCTAACATTCAAAAACAAATCATTCACCAAATAAGTAATTAAACAATCATTCAACATTTGATCTCCCATGCTATTTCGTAGTTTGTCTTTCACTTGCTTCATGCCAGAAAATACCCTTTCCACACTTGCCGTTGCGACAGGAAGAAGCAACACCAACTTCAAAAGTAAATAGACCCTATCATGAGTTTCAGACAATCCCGTTTCAACCAATTTGATTGAAAGATCACTAAGACCCTTCAAATTCCAAAACCTTTCATCTCCTCTAACAGAACAAATGTAACTCTCAAGTGTATGACCAAAGACTATCAATTCTGAACTTGGAAATTCATTAGGATAGAATTTTGCAAGCTTAATCAATTTTTCCTTATCAAACTTAGAAAAACGATCCACAGGACTCAAACAAGACATACACACAAGTAGTTCTTTAGTTATTTTGGGAAATCGATTTTCAAGTTCTTGCAATTGAAGATCAATGGCACCAAAAAAAACTTCAACTCGAAAATGATGTAGATTAGACACTTGTGGGCATTTACCTCTAAACAACCTCTTCCCGGGAACAACATATTTAGCCTCCATATCTGGAACTGCAATGTCATAGTCACCAATAAAAGAAATTACCTTTTCCATATGAGAATCCCATCCTTCATCTCTCATTTTTTGCAAATTAGTCTTGGTTACATTAACCATGGCCATTGCATTCACAATGTCTTGATCGTGCTTTTGTAAGGCCACATTCAAAGCATTTGTTATCGCAAATATACTAACCATCAAGTGTGCCACGAACACAAAATCAAAGGACATCAGAAGATTTGTAAGTGTTTGAGCTCTATTAGAATCTATTGTATCAGATACTTTTGCAATATCCTCAAGAGAACCAAGGATTACAGGGAATAAATCAAGTACATTCAAGATTGTCTTGAAGTGAGATCCCCAACGAGTATCACAAGGTCTACCTAATCCACGTTCTTGATTTAAACCTGGACCCGTTTCAAGTTCACCTAGAGACAATGCATCCACCACTCTTTGAGCTTGATTTTCACGAAGAAACTCTTTCCTTTTTGGTGAACCCCCCACAAAATTCAAGAGAGGTGCAAGTACATCAACAAATAACCAAGCACAATCTGAATTCTTTTTAGCAAGTGCAACTTGAGTTAATTGAAGTTGGTGAGCAAAGCAGTGGACAAAATAAGCTTCTTTACACTCATTCTCTATAAGAGTCCTAAGGCCATTAATAGAACCTTGCATATTACTTTCCCCATCATAACCCTGACCCCGTACTTGAGAGAAAGACAAAGAATGCTCCGTTAATAAGGATTCAATAGCAGTTTTGAGAGTCAAAGAAGTAGTGTTTACAACATGCACAATACCAAGTAAACGCTCACACACTTCTCCCTTTCTATTAACATATCTCAAACAAAGAGCCAATTGTTCCTTGTCAGAAACATCAGCGGACTCATCAGCAAGGATAGAAAACAAACCACCATCAATATCTTCAAGCATTGCTTTAGTGGTCTCTTTTGCACATGCATTTATGATATCTTTTTGGACTTTAGGAGAAGTAAGTTGAGAATTACTAGGAGCATTTTTGAAAACAACTTTAGAATATTCAGGATTACCTTTGGAAATAAGGGATAAAAGTGAAAGAAAGTTACCTCTTCTTAAGGAACTTTCTTTTTCATCATGACCACGGAAAGGCAACCCTTGGAGTAAAAGCCATTGGATAGATTCAATTGAAGCTTCAAGTCGCTTCCTATATGCATTTGTACTCTCAGCGAGTTGTTTTGTCAAGGCTTGTGTGATGCTTGAATTTTGTTTCTTGAACAAATCCATAGCTAAAACAGCATTATTATGTGCACTCAAGTATTTACCGACATGTTTTCTTATTAAATCTGATCGATTCCATGATTTGAAACCATCACTAACAAAAGCATCACCTCCAAAGGCATTTTCATCCTTGAATAGATAACAAGGGAAACAATAGGCAGCATCCTTTTCCACACTATACTCAAGCCAAGTCCAAGTATCAAACCACTTAGCACAAAAGCGACGATTTTTGCCAAAAATAGAAGCTTGAGGAAATGTAGTCTTTGGGCTGACAAGGCTTTCTTTGAATGTAAATTCTTCTCACTAAATCTCTATCATCTTTATGAAATTGACTCATTTTTCTCCTCTTTCCTAGATCTTGTGGAAGATTAGCAAATTCATGTTCACTTAATCTTTCACCAAAGATTGGGGCATTAGGAGAACATTGGCCTTGTTCATTTTGAGGGGAATTTTAAGTTGAATAATGAGATGGAGATGAAAGTTGTTCACTTTCTTGAGGTGGAGTTATAGTTTGTTCATTTTGTGTTAGATGTGGAAGAGAAGTTGGAGTAGGATTCTTTTTAGCAAAGAAGCTAGTAATGTTTTGCATTTCATTTGGAGTACGTTTTCTCTTCATTCTGAAATTTGAATAAATATTGAACTAAATCAAGCAATATTCCCCAGAAAAATTATTTGAATAAATATTCAACTAAATCAAGCAATTTCACATAATGACATAATCACATAAAAATATTACACAAAACACAATTACACAAAACAGATTTCACATAAGTTCAAGAGACAAGTAATGCAAATTTGATCAAAAATTCACAAAAAAAAAAAAGAATCAATTGATGATTAGTTGATTACCTACCTTGCTAGGCGGAGGCGAGCAGCGGAGCAGGCGGAGGCGAGCAGCGGAGCAGGCGGAGCAGCACTGCAGTAGGGCCACGGCCAGTCGGCCTGCACCGCAGCACGGCAGTCGGCAGCACTCAAGTCTCAGGTACTCAGCAAGACAGCAATTCAGCAGCACAGCCAACTACAAATTAACAAATCAACCAAAGTTTAAACCAAAGTTTAATAAAATTAACTAATTAGGCTGAATTAAATTGAAGATTAGAAATTAAAAATAAAAATTAGAAATCAACTTACTAGCGAGTAGCGATTTCGAAATGCGATTATGCGAGAAGCCACGAAGAGGACGGAGTCCACGACCACCGACCACCAGGCGAAGAGAACAGTGGCTGCCTGGCTGGGACGAAGCGAAGAGGCGAACTGAAGAATGGCGAAGAGGCGAATAGAAGAAGGCTAGGGTTTGATTGTTTGAAGAAGACAAAAACTCGGGATTTCGGGAAGCTAATGTCAGTTTTTTTTTCTTTTTTTTTTTTTTTCAAAAAATAACTTAAATTTTTTTTTTTGGGCCTGGTGAGGTCTAAGCCCAAGTCCGCCATAATATTGTTGAAATAAAAATCAATTCCCATAATACATTGATTTAAAAATAAATTCCCTACATAGTGTCCACGTAGGATCGTTTTTTTTTTGCTTTTGGTTCAACTTAAAACCGCTAATGGTAATAGCGGTTTTAAAAAAGAGACCGCCTCTAACAATAACAGGTCTCTTTGCGTCCTTGGTTAATTCACAAGGCATAGTCTACAGGAAAATTATTTCAAAGAGACCGCCTTTCAATACGACAGGTCTCTTTGTGTCCTTGTTAATTCTTAGCCCGCAACAAGAAATGAGAGCGCTGGCAATTACACTTATAACTTCAAAGAGACCGCCTTTCAATAAAAACATGTCTCTTTGACTTTATTTTACAAAAATTGCAAAACCGCTAATAACGTAGCGGTTTTAAGTTGAACCGAAAACCAATCCTACGTGGACACTAATTTGGGAATTTGTTTTTAAAACGAAGCATAATGGGAATTAATTTCTATTTTAACAATATTAAGAGAAATATGGAATTATCAACATCCCAAACTCCTAGAATAATCTAAAACCACACATCTCAAACAGTCAAGCCCCTTCATTCCTCGGAGGTATTCTCTGATGACCAGGAGCGAATTACTGATTTTTTGCAACATTATTGTGGGCTTCATGGACGATCAGGAACAAAGCTATACATGAGACTACATACGATCCTATAAGCTTAGCTACGGGCTTTATAAGGTACGTGGATGACCACAATCTAAATGCAAGCAGAGTGTTTGGTAGAGTAGTATACAGGGATACAAGGTCTGCAACCTCATGACATTGTCCTCCTGATGGGGTTATAAAAACCAACGTCGATGATGCAATTATGAATGGACCTATGGTGAGGTTGGGAGCTGCTGTTCGTGACTCTAATGGTGAGCTGTTAGTCAATGCTGCTCGTCGATTGCTGGTGGTTGGGATCCGGGTATTGCTGAAGCCGTAATAGCGTGTTTTGGTGTGGAGATTGTGAGATGTTTCGGATATGCAAAGGTCTGGTTGGAGTGCGATCCACTTGGTGTGGTTTAGAAGACCAGAAGCAAGATTGAAAAGTTAAGTTTTATGTTTCTATTAATTAAACAGAGCAAACAAGATTTTTATAAAACATTAAAACAAAATACTTACCCTCGCTCTTACAGTGCAAGTTGAAAAGGTATGATATGTTGTGTACATCTGAATAGCAAGGTATGATGTGTTGTGTACATCTGAATAGCTAGCTGACATGATCAAAACATAGTAATTAAGCTCCAATAGTAATAATAACTCCATATAATGAATAAAAGACGACTATAGAAGAAGGGAGTAAAAATATGGACAAATATGCAACTATCAACATCTCAAAACTCCTAGAATCCTAAAAACCACAGAGTCAAGCTCCTCTGCCTCTCGGAAGAAAAAGTCTCATGAAGCCCATGAGCTGAAGCAAATACGAGACGAAAAGCGCGACCACCACGAGCCCTGGAATGCCAAGGACGGCCAAGAGTGTGTACGCAACCTGTAAAATATGTGGTTAAAGTAAACAGTTATGTTAGAACAAAAAAACAAATAGGAGTTGTTCAAATAGGAGCATAAAGACTTGTTAAATTATCTGACCCACACCCGTGACTTTAAATAGGAAACCTTCTACAATTAGTATCCTCTAATATTTTCGATGTGACAAACCTTTTAGATCTTTGCATTTCTGTTACAAAAATGCAGCAAACGAGATTTTCATTCAGCAATTCAAAACGTTACAATAAGAAAATGTCCCTTCACCCCTAAATCTCCTCTAGAATTCACTCAAGCCCCTTTATTCCTCGGAGGTGTCCTCTAATGACCAGGAGCGAATTACTGATTTTTGCAACTTTATTGTGGGCTTCATGGACGATCAGGAACAACTACATACGATCCTATAAGCTTAGCTACGGACTTTATAAGGTACGTGGAAGGCCACAATCTAAATACAATAGCGCATTTAATTAAACAGGACAAACAAGATTTTAGAAAAACATTAAAAACAAAATACTTACTCTCGCTCACACAGCATTCTGCATGCGCAAGTTGAGAAGGTACGACGCGTACATCTGGATGGCTGACATGACCATCAGGAAGATGGTCAAGTCAGCGCGCCTGTCCCTGTAAAACAACAACAACAAAAAAAATGATTATAAAATGAAACAATTTAATTGTCAAATTTGTAATATTATCCAAAAAAACACAAAGATACACACAATAGCAAAAAATTTACCAGAATTTACCTATATTCTTAAGAAAAAAGTGAAACAGAATTCTTATCTAGCATTGAGGAGCCCAACCTCAAAACATTTAATAACCCGTTCAAATTCAAATCTAGCATATGAGAGAAAAAAAATGAACCAGTCCCTGCCAAAAGTTTAGGAGCCAATGCTTCTTAAGTCTGGTAATGCAAGATAATATCATCTCAATTTCAACAACATTGCCAATGAAGATTAAACCACAGTCCCTGCCAAGAGTTCACCCTTTATTTTACCAAGCAAGCCCACAAAATAATAAAATTAAAATCTCAGGTAAGTCATTGACATACTTGCAAAATCGACAGTCATGCTCACACCAACACAGCCTACTAGCATCAGTAAAACTAGAAAAACTCATCTTCGCTGCATGGAGAACTAGCATTTTGCAATGACACACACACAGCTAACAAGATATAGTATAAAAATCATAAACAAAGAAATCAACTATAGATGTCGAATGAAAGATTTTTTTATTCCCTACTCTAAAACTAATCACATCACAATATCACATTGATATAACTTAATGAAGTTCAAAAAATCAATTCATCCAGAAATTGATAATCCAACTAAAAATAAGCCCAAAACACACCTACCATGTGAATAGTTGCCCATTGATAAGATCCCCAAAGGCAGGTAATAACTAACTACACAATTTCAGCAATACCACATTCACAAGTAATAACACTCAGAAAAATCACACACATCCCGAAACATTCTAATTTCTAGCAACAGTCAAACAAGCCCGCAGGATATCCCATACTAAAATGCAAAAAACTCAAGAGGGTTCATGCAAGCAACCTTTGCAGATAAAAGATGAGCTAAAGTATTGAACTAAGGACCAGTGACACTAGGGCACAGATTTAATCCCTTTCCAGTTTAATTAAATTTCATAACCCAGCAACCATTAGCAGTGTATATGCCAAATTGCATAAGAACAAAACAACAGAAACTGCGCAATGTTATCTTTAATTTATTGATTCAGAATTGAAAATTTCAGGGTGTTCCAAGTCCAGACAATTTTGCAAAAGCCTAAACTAACTCATCAGTCAAAACACATTTTACTGGGTGATGATGTAAATATTCATCTGGCAGTACCACACACAGCAGGCAACAATTCAATTCAACTTCAGAACATCACTAGCATATTATCATTAAAACTGCAAAAACCAAGAAGAATCACAACTCGCCAGATTTGTATGAGAAACTACGCTAATAAAATTGCTTATCAAAATATCAATTTCCATGTCCAAAGACCAAATCTAATCTAAACTCAAGACATAATGTCATAAAGAATAGGAACTGCGAGCATAACCTCAGAGCACATTGTTAGGGTCCATTAATATAATATATATTTGAGCAATAGAATCGTTAGAAATCATGGCCACATCAATCACAAGAACTGTAAACACGTTTCAAGGGATGTCAGAAGAAACCAGAGCATAACAATTAAAAATAGGAACAAGAGAATGTAGACACAAACAGAAAATAGTTTATTCATAACTCAATAAGAACTTCATTGAGTTCATAGCACTAACCAGAAACATAATATGAGAGAACTTGATGATTCATAACAACTAAAATAGAAATTGTTCCAACAAGTACTTCAATGCATTCACAAATCATAAAATAGAAACCAATTCGATGCCACAAACTTAACGCCGACAACTAGAGAACGATACCAAGAGCTTAGAAACCACCACGGCGACGGAGGACAAGGTGAAGGGGCGGACTCCTTCTGAACGTTGTAATCAGCAAGGTACGCCCAACATCTAATAACCCATTATCAACAAAAAATCTACTTCTAGATTCTTAAGAAAAAAGTAAAACAGAATAATCAGATTTTGCCCTCAACAAATCCAACTCCCACACAACTCCCCGGTCCTCCTTCACCTCGAGGAAACGAAAAGTACATGGACACCAAAAAGAACATCTCCATATCAGTAACCCTACCCAACCTACAAGCCAAGTTATCATCATCAGAACCTCCAAACAATGTGTTCAACTTTTGAAGTACCCTTTTCCTAATCTTCTGGTGAGATTCATCCTCAAGCCGAAAATTCAATAACCGGGTAGCTTCCCATTCTTCCCCTTCCCTCGGCTCCCTACAATAACTATCCCCCTAGCTCAGAACCACCTCCCCCGATTTCGCCCTCGAAATTTGCCAGAAAAACCCATAATTCCAGCTAAAATTAGAGGCATAGTTGGCTAATTACAAACAAATTACAAACAAATTCAAATCCTAATTTACTAAAACCCCAATTCAAATCTCCAGCAGCAAAGTCAAAAACCCTTAATTACAAACCCCTTTAATCAAACATCAATGATACAACAACAATAAGAGAGGAAATTCAAAAGTACAAACTTACTCAATCCCGGCGGCAGGACGAGCGACGGAAGCAACCGCAGCTGGAGTTGGAGCTGGAACAGGTGGGGGAGTGGGAAGGCGACTCGTAAGAGTATCCCTAATGGAGACCAAAATAGGCTCCATTCGGGTCTCTACAAAACTCCGGTACTGGCGAATCTCATGTAGAATGGCCTCCAGCAGCTCTTGGTAGTCACCAATTCCAGAATTTCCGTTTTCCGCCATTTTTATGGAAAGCTCAAGCTTTTGATGGTACTGTATTTGATGACAACTGGAACTTTGGTGACAAGACAACTCTATTCTAATTTAAAACAAATTACTGTAGTAATAATATTTATGTTAAAACAACAAAAACCTTATTACCCTTATTACACCCCTTCTTATTAGCATATATTAAAAAAACGATAATATTCCCTCCGTGTTTTTTTAAGTGATACATATTGACCGGCACATAATTTTAGGCAATTTAATTGACTTAAATAAAATAAGAGGTAAGTGGGGTAGTGGAGTATTAAAAAATTGTTAAAGAAAGATAGTGTGGTTAATAGTTTATTGAAAAGTAATAAATGTGAGATGAAAGATATAATAAAAAAGTAGTAGTGGGTTTGGGTGGGGGCCATGAGAGGAGAGAGAAATAATATTTTAATGTATTGTTTTGCCAAAAAAGGAAATGTATCACTTAAAAAAACACGGCCGGAAATGGAAAATGTATCACTTAAAAAAACACGGAGGAAGTAATAATAATAATAATAATAATAATAATAACAAAAAAAATTATAACAATAATAATATATTATTATTTTTTTCATTAATATTTTAATATATTTTTGTATATACACTTTTATATATAATAATAATAAATAATCAAAGATCAGTATTCCTTAGTTAAACATCACTAATCAATAGTTAAATAGTTCAACTTAGCTCTTATAAGTTCAGTTCAACTCAGCTTAGTTCAGTAAATCAGAACATGACCTAAGTCTAGTTAAGTAAATACTTCCTCGTTTTAAAATATTGGAGGAGGCTCAATTTTTAAGATGAGTAGAGATAAAGAGAAATAAAATAGGGATTCATGTGTCTTCAAAAAAAAAAGAGATTCATGTGATGAAGAGAGACATTAAGAGAAAATGTTATAAAATTTGTGCAAATTTCTATAATGGTAATTGTTGCAATATTATTGTTGCGCGCCGGGCAATGTAGTGTTGTTAGTGAGCACGGCCGGAAGTTAAGTTTTTGTAAGGCTAATGTGTAGGCTTCTTCGGTGTAATTATGAATAAATGTAGATTTATGAGTGAATCTATATGTTGATAAATAGAATTAAACCAAAATAAGTGATTGTACATGTTTTTAAATAGAGTTAAAAGTATAATATATGTATAAGGGTATTAACTAAGTTGGTTTACTTGAGTATTTATTTTGAACTATGTATAGGTATATAATCTAATTTAAGGCATGTTTACATTTACAGAGCTGAACTGAACTGATTGTAGCTGAACTAAACTGAACTGAATAGAGCTAAAATGAATATTTAATGAGATAAGAAAATTAAAAGCTAAACTGAACTGATTGGAGCTGAATTGAACTGAACTGAAATTAAGTTGAAGCGAACAGGCCCTTAGACGTGGACTCTATGGGAACATTGGATAAAAGTTGAAGTTATGGACTCTTTGGTAAAAGATTGGGTTGTAAAGAGCAATCATTTTAAAATTGGTTCAAAGGCTCAAAATGTTAATGTGGCTTAAAAAATTGTTTGGGCTACTATGATCACATTTTTGGCCCTTTATGACATTATAATTGACAAATATAAGAACTTTTTTTTTTTTTTTTTTTGTTGGAAACAGGCAAATATAAGTACTTTATACTCATTCTTTTCAATCAGAAGTTGCAACCCTTTATATATACTTATTAGTTTCCATTAATTAAAACTGATATTTATTATATATGTATATTTTTTGTCTTTCTTAGTCCCTACAGAGTGAGAGTAGTATAGTATTTCTTTGCTTATTTTCTCTTTTGTAGATCTGAATGAATAAAAGTCTAATGATTTTGCTAATTAGTTTTATGAAGTGTTATAGTATTCCAAATGGCCCTTTATTATTGTAATTAACGTTTATTTTTATTATTTTTTTATTTACTTTTTTTTCTACAAAATTATGTATCTTTGCAGGGGTGGTTGAGATTTGAGCTTTAAGGAAAAATTGTTGCATTGTTTGATGAGCATCATTAACGAAAATTGTAATTTGTAGCATATTCTCAAGTGTAATACAGATTTTCATTAGCAAAAATCATTTGAATATGATTGTTCTTTTATTTCTATATAGTTGTTCACTTGTTCTTGTTCTACAACATTTACTAACTCAATGTGAAAATAACATTCTTTGTTGTTAAGCATAAGATTCAAATGTCCTCAACAATCTAAGCTACCAATTCTTATTGTATTTATATAATGAAGATCAATCCCATGCCAATTATAGTTTTAATAAATGTGAATTATGATTATTTCTTGAAAGTTGTTAAATATTACCAACAAGACTTAAATTAAGAGTTTCTGGGTTTTTTTTTTTTTTTTTTGGGTCATTGTTAACTTGGGTGTTGATATTTTATACTCATGTAGTTATTTTAGTTGTCTTTTTGGACTAGGACTAATAAGCAAACTGTGGACATATTCTCATATTTTTACTTGTTACGAAGTACCTTTAATTTTTCACAAACAATTCTTTATTAATCGAATATAACCGATCCAATTTCATATAATTTTGCTCAAATCCTTTGCATTACATTCACAAATTGGTGCCCAACAATTTCCTTTTAATCTAGTTCAATTAAACACAATGCTCACACATCAACAACACACATAACATTCTTTTCTTAAAAAAGAATTTAAAAACTAATTGGCTAAAAATATCAAATATACAACCTCCTATTTTGTATATTCATATAATAATCTACCATTTACTTAAATAATAAATTCTTCATGATAAAAATAAAATATTATCATAGTATTAAATAGAGATGACTTATTTAATTAATCATTCAGTGTATTTTGTTCTTCTTGTACTACCTATACGTTACTTTTTCTTATTTTTTTTCTTATGCAAATATCCTTTTCACTAAATCTGCCATACATTAACATAATACAATCCGTTAATAGATGAAGCCTATAAATTAAATACACATGTAAACAGGCTTCAAAAGAAAAGACAGCAGTAAAAAAATCTTTGCACAATGTTTCATGAAGGGGTCAATGCCTGAAGTAATTCTTTAATCCTCTTCTGTCCATAATCATATAACTTCAATATTTCTTTTGGGCAATGTTTCACTAAGGGGTACATGTTTCTGCAGTAATATGATTACTAACATGAAAACTATGAAAGTAGCAATTGCATTTAATTTGCCATACATTGACATAATGCAATCTGATTACTAACATGAAAATAGCAATTGCATACACTAAATCTTCCATACATTAACATAATATATACAATTCGTTAATAGATGAAGCCATTATAATTAGTTGTAAACACGATACTCTTCACCCATAGTATCATGACTTCTTGATAGCTTCAGTTCAAGATGCTTGTAAACAAATTACAAGAATGAGGCAAGTTCTTTCAGCTTAATTAAAGAAATAATCAGAAAACCAAAGAATTATGCAGTCTGGTGTAGCCCAAAACCATCTTGATAGCTTCAGTTCAAGATGCTTGTAAATAAATCACAAGGATGAGGCAAGTGCTTTCGGCTTTCGAATCTCTTGGGTCCTAAAGCCACATACTGCCCGCATCCGCCACGAAGTTTGTCTATCATCTTGCTTATAGTGAAAAAGAGAGCTTTCAAATATCAGGGGTCCTAAAGCCACTTACCTTTTGCCTTATTAACTGAGCGTGCAACTTTGATGGCTTAAAAATACGCGACAATGGCTTCTGAATGAACAAATATTTGCATCAAAGTATTACAGTCCAACCAATCCCATCCAATTCCCACTAAAGAATATTGCAATCCTGGGAATCCTATTTAATTCCCATAAAAGAAAATAGCATTCCTACTAATCACATTCGATTTTAAGTAGCTGAAACAATATTCTCACAATTTTCAAATCTAAAAATCATCAAATTAACTTGCAAATACACCTATATATTCAACAAAGAAAATATTAGCACCTTAAAGTTTACAATTCAACAAATCAAATTCAATACCCGCCACAAAATTATCACTTCCTACAATTTTTATTATACATATGAGTTCGAAAGATTATATCAGGAGCATCTAAGTATGCCCTACACTGATAAAACAACACCAAAAACTTTAATTGAAAATGAGATATCAATGAACCAGTTAAAACATACTTCTGGTGTCGAAACTCAGGTGGTGGATCAAATAACGGACGGTTTCAAATCAAAAGGCGCGTATTTTGAACATGAGAAGGTAAATCAACATCTGATTTAAGTTATCCTGCCTTGACTAATTTGGTAAGTCTAGGTGTAGTTGTTGCAGACTTGCTGTTGGGAGTATTAGATCTGCTTTGGATAAAAACATAGCAATATACAGAAAACCAAAATATAAATTGTAATCAAACATCAGTATAAGCAAGAGACACCGTCACAAGAAAATGCATTGCAATAAAAAAAAAATCTAATCAAACATGGGTATAATCAATAATGATATTTCTAAAACGCAGATTTGGTGGAAGAGACACATCGAATCTCTTTCCCCAAAAGAAAACAAAAGTAATCAATGTCATATGTTAGACCCATAAAATAGCAACTCAATCAATATTGCCTCACCTCCTCCACCATACTTTTTCTGCCCCTTCCACCAATAAATACTTAATCTATACTATATATTAAAAGGCATTCCTTTTAAAGGAATGGTGCCACGTGGCACTCTTCAAAGTATTTACTGTAGTAATAATATTTACAAATTCTTAAATAGACCTGGTTCACACTAATTTATTGTGGACCACTAACATTA